TATATTCATAAAAAATTATTTAAGAATATCCCCTCCTTCCCCAAATAGTCACAGTAATCTTGAGACAGGAGAACAAAGTTGGAGGAATCATAATACCAGATAAAAATTAACTACAAAGCCTCTGTGCTAAAAACTGCATGATACTGGCACAAGAACAGACATATAGACCAATGAAACAGAACAGAGAACCCAGAAATTGACCCAAGACATTATGCTCAATTAATATTTGAAAAAGGAGGCAAGACCATACATTGGAGCAGAGACAGTCTCTTCAATAAATGGTGTTGGAAAAATTGGATAGGTACATGCAAAAAGATGAAACTAGACCACCAACTTACACCATCCACAAGAATAAACTCAAACTGGATAAAAGACTTAAATGCAAATAGTGAAACCATAAAAGTCCCAGAAGAAACCATAGGAGCCAAAATCTCAGACATCTCTGGTAGCAATATGTTTACTGATAAATCTCCTAGGACAATGGAAACTAAGGAGAAAATAACCATATGGGACTACATCAAAATAAAAAAGCTTCTGCACAGCAAAAGAAACCATCAACAAAATAACAAGCTAGCCCACTATATGGCAGAACATATTTGCCAATGATATTTCCAATAAGGGAAACTCATACAACTTAACAAAAGAAAAACAATCCAATAAAAAATGGGCTCAGGACCTAAATAGACACTCTCCAAGGTAGGCATACAGAAAACCAAGATACATATGAAAAAAAATGCTCAAAGTAACTAATCATCCGAGAGATGCAAATCAAAATGACAATGAGGTATTGCTTCACACCTGTCAGAGTGGCTATCATAAAAAAATCAACAAAGGACAAGTGTTGGCGAGGCTGTGGAGAAAAAGGAACCCTCCTTCACTGCTGGTGGGAATGCAGACTGGTGCAGCCATTATGGAAAACAGTATGGAGTTTCCTCAAAAAATAAAAAAGGTGGAGTATATCCCAAGAAACCCAAATCACCAATTAGAAAAAAATATATGAACTCCTATGTTCAATTTACAATAGCTAATATCTGGAAACAGCCCAAGTGCCCATCAGTAGATGAATGGATAAAAAAAACTGTGGTACATTTACACCATGGAGTATTATGTAGCTGTTTAAAAAAAGAATATCTTACCCTTTGAGACAGCATGGAGGGACCTAGAGAGCATTATGCTAAGTGAAATAAGCCAGTTAGAAAATGACAAGTATCACATGATCTCACTCATATATAGAATCTAATGAACAAAATAAATTGATGAACAAAATAGATTGAGAGACATAGAAGCATGGAACAGACTGTGGTATCTCTGAGGGAAGGCGGGGAGGGTGGGTTGGAAGAGATCAACCAATGAACTTGTATGCATGTATGCATAACTCCTAGACACAGACAATGGGGTGGTGAGGGCGTGGGGGGAGGGGACTGGAGTGGGCTGGAAGAGGTTATTGGGGGGAAAAGGTGCACCTATGTAATATTTTCAACAATAAAGATTTTAAAAATGAAAAAAAAATCTCCTTTTTCTTATAAATCCAATAGAAAGCCCTCTTTTTGTTTTATAAAAGGGCATAAGTTAAACATAGAGGGTAGCTGTCATTGTCCTTTTAACTTCACTTTCAACATACTCTTAAAGAAGGAACAGAAGTCTATTCTTATTGTTGTTTATATGGCAAATTAGGATCCCTTCATTCATTTACAAAAATTATTTGACTTGAACTGTGCATATAGTATAGGATATGCAGTTGTGCAAGGCAAGACAAGAGAGATTGCACAAAGCCTGATTCTGCCCTTGAACTTCCTACAACCTAGAATAGACTGAATGGATGGATGCCTGCTGTGAGGTAAATCCCTAGCTCCAAAGCAATTAAACCCATAACTTCCTCCAGCACATGCATTCACACACAGCACTTAGCTCTGCCAGTTGTTATGTCCTAGCTTTGTTCTCCTTCAGCTAAGAACAGCCAAACTGCAATGCTGGAAACTATTTGAACGAGGTTTCCATACCCCCTTCATTTACCCAGGAGTGGATTTTTTAGCTCTGGCTATTATCCAGTGATGTACTTTTAGAAAAGTATAACCACTGCTCCATAATAATAACAATAATAATTATAATAATAATGATAATAATGACAGGAAGAAGTAGGAAAATTAAGGACAGCTTATAAAATTATCTAATAAATTTGCATTGAAAAATGGTTCTGAATTTGATTAGCTTACATTTAATTCTGTCGTCAGAAATTTGGATGAATGTGAATCACTGGGAATATCTTCAGATTTCAAGATAATCTAATCAGATACCTAAGAGTTCTTCAGAGAATAGCACCAGGCACTACAAATTACCCATGGGAAATTTTTTTATTTAACACGTTTTTGTCATCAAAAATATAATTACTTAATTATGTTTTTAATCTTTATTGTTGAAAGTATTGCAGATGTCTCCCTTTTTCCAACATAGACTCCTTGCAGCCTGCCCTCACCCCCCACTGCAGGCCTTGTCTGTGTCCATGGGTTATGCATATATGCACACAAGTCCTTTGGTGGATCTCTTCATACCCAGGCGCCCTCCTTCTCTCCCCTCTGAGGTTCCATAGTCTGTTCCATGCTTCTATGTCTCTGAATCTATTTTGTTCATCAGTTTATTTGGTTCATTAGATTCCACATAGGAGTGAGATCCTG